ACACGTGTAATAGCACGCGATAAGTTTCATTGATTGTTTGTTGCTTTATTCAATTCAGTGTGAGGGCTGAGATACTGCCCGGGCGCCCAGACCGAAGAAGGTGGTTTTATTAAGGGACCACCCCCCGAGCCTTTGACTTGGAGTCTAGTCCGCAAGGCAGCGGAGCAGCGTCAGGAGCTGCATTCCCATGGTTTCCGGTGACTCATATGGGTTCATACGCCATTTGATCCGATTGGATACTGGAGCCCATATACCCCATAGTAACTGCTTGTAGTTTAACCGCTATCGAAACAACCTTCCTGACATGCTAGGACCTGCAGGGACAGAGTCCCAGTCAGTTTAGCATGTTGGGTCATTACGGTATTCAAGCCCGACCAGCACGACAAGGTAGCAGTTATCGACCGGGGGAGACAGGAGAATAGCTCAGTAATCAATAGAACAATAGAGATTTTGAGAAAAGTATTTGGCCTTTACGAAATGTTAATTTTTTAACATATACATTTGGTAGCTTACTATCTCATTGATCGAAGGACGATGGTAAAACAGACAGAGAACTTTGTAAAAAGTTCGATTATATTGAAAAAATTCACCAGAATGCAATAAAAAAAATGAGTACTGGTGGACTGAAACCATGGTCAAAAAATCTTTGATAGATGAACTGGTATTTCCACTGTATAAAAGGAGAGTTAAAAAACCTAACTTTCGAATTTTCTACCCTGAATCAAGTTGCGTATTAGTTGTTCATTTAAACTTACTGTTTTTAGGTTGCAGACGAATTTGAAAGAGGATTCAAATAAGGCCGCTAGTTCTAGATTTGATCTGAAATTCGACGTTCAAACTGTGATTAACTCAAGTTTCATGCTACTTGCATAATCGGCCTAACAAGAATAAGTAATAAGTAAAGATTAAGATTTTACAGTTTCATAAAGATACCTGGTCTTACAAATAATTCTTTTTATTATTTCTCATTGATCTTGATGTTGAATAACCTATTTCCCATTTTCTGTTCGTTACTGGCATTGTTCAGCCATAATCCAATATCCTTGTTCAATGATTTGAATTACCGATCACTTAATCATTATAAACCAGGTTGTTTGAAAGTATATGAGCTTTATAAATGCCGAAAGTGTTTTCTGTACTTTCACTTTGAACTTACTACATTGCACTAGTCAAGTTAGTGTGGCTCTTGTTGTATCGCAAATATAAAGTTCTCGCAAAATTTATTCATCCTTAACTCTGTTAAATCTTGGCGTCTGTCTTGTTTGAAAGTGTTTCCGGGTGAAAATTTTCTAGTCAGAAGGATTATGGGATTAAAATGAAATCCAGAAACGGAATTTTTACACTTGAGTTATTCTGTGCGTAGCAGATTAAATTAAAATACCACCTTATCATACTTACCTAACTGAAATTTATTTACTTATTTGTAAAGACTGAAGAATTCTACAGTCTATGCAAATTTAAGGTGGAATTACACCGATGATAGGCAGGTCAACTACCTTTAGAACCTGACGGAAACGAATTCATACTCTAGGGAATGAAGCCGCGGTAGAGTAAGAAGTGAAGTAAAGATGACCATCTGTGTCCTACGCGATAACAACAACAAGATATTTCACAGATTTTAGTGGGGAAATCACCTAGCCAATAATGAAATACTGACAGTCGAATTTTCCAAGCTCATACTGCATAATATGATTTCCACCCTAGATCCAAACCATATCTCATCTCATCTCCTGCAGTAAGATCTATTCTTCATAAGTAAGGAAATGTCATCTGTTCAAACATAGCTGTTTTTCAATTAAAACAGTAGTTTTGTATCCTTGCTCATTCGGTTAAGATTAGAATAAATCAGCTGACACATATTTTTTGGTAACACATTATATAGCATGTTTGTGCGTTGGTGGCACAGAGGTTAGGACTCTCGCCGACCATGCACATGGTCCGGGGTTCGAGCCCACGCCGACGCACACCTGATATCTATGCTCGGCCTGCAAAATTTGGGCTACCGATATCCCTGCTGAAAATTCCATACTTGTATCAAAAATACAGTGTGGAATCAAGCTGTAATCAAAAATAAAATAAAAAAAATAAAATGTTTTCTTTTTATTTCCTATATATATCTTTTTGAAAAAGTCCATTAACGAATATATAAATGATGCATAGTAAGTAATGAAATACCTATAATATGCAGGCATTTGTACAGTTTATTTGGCTTCAATTTACTAACTTTAACTTTTCTTGATTTAGTTTGCCTAAAGAACGTTTTTACACCATTTTGATAGCCAAATGTCCACGTTTCATAATTGCCTTTTCATGTATTTTTCCACTCATTCAGTTAAACATTAGACAAGGAAAGCGACAGTTGTTCACTGAATTTTTCATTTAATTTCAATAATGAACACTTACTGTGTATTGACTGTTAGCTTATTTGTTCATACATGTTCTGCATGTGTGAAAAAATTAAGTGTAATTATATATGATCTTACATTGTAAGTGTGTGTGTGTGTGTGGGTGCATAAATGTCTAGGCTGCTATTTGTCCAAGGTGTATTTTCCACTCCTAATTAGAAGTGACGTACACGTTGATGTGAAATCTATGCAGTTGTCATTGCTAATTGGTAGACTTATCGACTGGGTGAGCGCATTATGACAATACTGATGAACTGTGAAGTCATTCTCTCATTATCCATTGCTTATACTAGTGTTAAATTTATTCCATTCAAAACGTTAAATAGTTTTCTGGTAATTAGTTTGAAGTAATAAATATAATGTAATAAATGTAATATAATTTTTCGAAAAATGCCATTGTTATAAGGGTGAAGGGAAACAGAAGCAGGATTCAACAAAAGTTGCTGTCAAATTCACGACTTCCAGTAGTCATTATCTTGGTTCTTGACAAGAACTACTCTAGATTATTGGCTTTAATGGCTAAGTTCAAGACACATTTTCCATAGTTCCAAGGGAAATTAGTGAAAGAAAAGATTAGCTAAATTGAATGTAAGAATGAGCTGTCGCTGATGACATGTCGTGAAATGACAGGTAACTCTAATCAAAAGCCTCTAGCCTCTTACTCCCTAATAGGAGTGTGGAATTCGATCTGATATAAAGGTGTGAGTTTCCACTGCTGAGAATTCAGAAACTAAGGCAACGTACACCTTTTATCTTCACTGTTTATATTATTTATGCTTGTCTTCCGAAAGGTTACATTAAACTACCAACCTTGTAAACCTCCTTACTGTTACAGAAATGAATATAAAAGAAGTAACATATGTTTAAAAAAGGTGGGCTTATTGAATTTTTTATTTTAAAACCTTCACTTATATTTAGGGCAAAGGGGTTGACTACTAAGCACTGTGTAAGATTCAATGAGGCCAAAGTCAAAAATAACCGACTCTTTACAGTTTGGAACTCAATACACTTGAGTTACCATGGTGATGGTAGTGACTGATCACATTAAATAACCGAAAATGCACTTTTAAGTGTGAGGTGATGGTGAAGATTTCAAAACTGTCATCGAATATGTTCATAATTTTAAGTGAGATGGGAAATAAAGAGAAAAGTTGAGAAGTGGAAACTGAATAATATATTGACTGACTAAGTTTCAACGTTGGGCTTTGAGCAGAAGTGCAGTGATTCGTCATGACATTACGGGTATCACAAAAAGGCAGAAAAGAGAAAAAATGTTAGAAAAAGAACTATAACTAACAGGAATGTACATGAAAAAAAGTATTATGGAGAAATATGACGGCTTAATGTATATGAGAGACTGCACAGAGTGAATGCGACTCTGAGTTATATCACCAACCATCTCTACCCATCAGTTTTTAGCGTCTTGAAGACCCCAAAAAGGAAGCATAAACCTGTCTATATGGCTCTAACTAACTGTCAGAGTTTTCAGAGACTGATGCCATTTTGTGATTTTACTATCCCAATTGCTTTCCCAGTCCCATCGAGTGATTTTTCCTCTTCACCTAGCGTTACGCCTAACCTCAATGCTCTTCGTCATATTATATCATTTAACCCGGGAGATAGAACACAAACAACTGTGGTCAAAGACAACTAGCCTCTTCAAGTATTCTAAATTCATAGGCCACGTCTCACAAATATAACGGCGGATGGAGTGCAGTTTTGCACAGTACAGATATCCTTCGATCGATATAACCGGTATCATGTCCACCCCAGCGAGCATGTAAATATGAAGCAAGTATTTTTTGTTCGAGCTGAGATTTCACCTGTAGTAAGTGCATTGAGGAACTAAGTCTTCTCAGCCAATTTAACTGTTGTCAATATTCTTCACACGCCTCTGGAACAAGGGTTTAGTTTTTAGGCGTATATCACATAGAATCTACAGGATCTGCTACAGTCTGTCTTCCGTTGCGAATTTCGTGAAACAATATTTTGCAGAAAGTGATTAATATTAGGACAAATATTTAATATGTAAGAAAAGTATTATTTTGATTACATGGAACGGTAAATCTGATAGGCTTTGGAAGGATGCTACTCTTTCTTTATTGTCAAACAATAATCAAGGGATAACACAAACTTTTAGTGTACTATGATAAACTTGTCATACTTTTGGGTGTGAAACTCTAAGAAAACTTGTATCTGGTTTAGACGACCACGCATAAACAATTAAAAGCTGTTGCCTGTAGCTGCTTGATTAACTTAAGTTGCTGACCCTTTTTAATCATACAAAGTTTTCCATCATACTAGCTGGATAATTTTAGTGATTTCGCCTAAACAGTAATCAGAAAGACAGTGCAAATGATGTGACTACATGCTTTTGTCAAAGATACAGTGCACTGATAGACAGATGTAGTCGATGAATTGGTGTCTTGGATAGTGGTAGACTCAATGAAATTAGTAGATCCTTAAATTTAAACCGAGTTCAGGTAATAAAATTAATTAAAATGAACTAATCAATCTTTTAAACATAGAACAAAAATGTTATATATTCAACTATGGGTTATTTGACTTGGATTTTCGTTAATTCCGTTCTTTTAGATAGATCATTTGGGGACATGTCAGACAGAATACATTCCAAAAAATATCACCTCACAGTCAGTTACCTTTGTTAAGAAAAGAAACTCAATCACGTGTAGAGATGACATTCAAACATACCCTTTAGCAAGTAATTTATTAACATCAGAACAAAAGCTCACAGTAAGTATTTTTTTTCTTCTTAAAACATTGCAGAAAAGTTTTTTCCTTATTTTGTGGTGATTTTCCGTTAGCTTTCAGGAGTTTCTAATTTCATGACATACATAAAAATGGCTTAAATTAATGATAAACAAAAAAAAAATTTGAAAAGAAATTGTTGAAGTGTTGTTAGATATCATGAAAGGTTATAAAGAATGCTAAAAAAGGTTTGGTTTTTAAGGTAGATAGATGATTCTCCAAAATATATTTCAATGAAATATCTCATTTGAAATGCTCACAGAACTTAATTATTTTTTATAGATTGTAAACATTCCAGTATTTCATCCAACGACAAGTTGTATAGCTTTCATTATACGATTGACCTAGTAATTAAACTGGGGAAATAAACAGGATGATATTCAGATTGTTTACCTGCTAAGGGAATTTGTGGAATTTAAAAAAGAAAATGAGAAATAATGGTGATAAGAAGAGAGATTTAATTTATATCAAGGCGTTGTTGAAAATGCAAATATCTGATAGAGGAAAGTTCGCGTAAGATGGAATGACTTCTTCGAACAACCTAAAAAGGTATATCAGTTTTTCATCTTTCAGAATGAATATGAGCTAAGTACTCCATTATTGAATTGGATTTTTTGATTTTCCCGTCGATTGATTGGACCGAAGTGCTCGGTCTCAGGTTGACATGTCGGCTTCTTGTGCAGATGCTTCGACGATGTCTGGGCATTTAGTTAGGATACAATTGGTGGATGGTGACTAGCAGTGGTCTAGTGGATAACGCTTTGGCGTTTGAAACTATGGGCACTGGGTTCGAGCCTCGGTGGGAACATCATCACTCACTGAGAAATGCAGGTACATCCAGATGACGAGTCCCAAATAGGACGAAATGCGCATCCTGGATTCCACTGCTAGTCACCATCCACCAATTGTATCCTAAGTACTCCATTGTTATAAAACATATTCAAGGATAAATGATAGTGGCCTGGCAAGCTCACCTCCGCATTCTTAACTGTGGCTCTGAGAAGCGAATAAGAGTATTCAACCTTCTAGATATTTTCTTCTTACTATCTCACGTCTCTGAGGATTGATGAAACTGTGAAATGCTAACTACCTGATTACCTTTTTGACACACTCAAACAGACAACTATTCTGATGAGATTTCTTCGTCCCGTTTTTTCTCATTCCTTCACGTTCCCAGTAGAACATATGGCTTCAATATACGGGCTTGAAGGTTTAGTAGCAATGGTTTTTATTTTTACGGGATGGGGTTGCTAGCCTTATGCCCAACCTTCCCTTATTACCAGTTTTATTACTGGCTTAGTGAGGTAAAGGAGTGGATCGGCCGGGGATCGAACCCCGGACCACATGCATAGTTGGCGAGCATTCTGTCGCTGTGTCACTGTCCCGTTTAGTTATTTCAGTATTATCATGGGGTTTAATCCAGAGCCTCTAACCAATGTTAAAGTAATAAAACTTTCACTTTCAGTCTTCTATTAGAATTAAAAACAGACGTTCAACTGAATTCACTTTCACTATCTAATGCAAGCATGGCACTTTTCATAATCCTGAAGCTTCTCATTAAATAGTTTCTAGTTAAAAACCCAAGGTAATAGCCCACAAATGAATGCATAATATAAACTTAAAATATAGTCCTAACGATACAAACTGCCAATAAGTATGGAAAGTTTGAATGATCTAACGATCATTTAGTTAATCTATAGACAGCGAGTTTTATGTCTCTTAATCCTGAAATCTTTCACAAGCTACAATTTGTGACTTGAGTTAACTAGAAGAAATGAATCTGAAGTTAAGGAAAATCGCCAGTTCCCTCACTTCACAGATTTACGATCTCCTTCATAAAGATAAGGCGGTTAAAATTGTATAGTTTCATACAGATGCTTAGCATAAAGTCACTTAAGGAAGAATATTTCAGACACTAGACTTTATCTCTTTTTGGAAGACCATTCATTCAAGTGTACCTTCTGAGTGAAAATATAACTTTAGTTCACAAAAATGTTCTAAAGGTATTTTCTGTTTCATTTGGTAATCTGATTGGTGTTTCATTTTCCTCCTGAGAATTTTCTAGTACGTTATTTGTTCCCAGAAAACAATTCAGAATAAATTAAGAGAAAGTGAATAAACTGGGTTAAGAACACTGTGAGTTATACGAGGCGCCTTTTACTCTACTTAACAGATTTATGATTTACATGTAGAGTAAATCAGCTCCATTTAAAACGTCTTTTTTCAGGCAGTAATTCTCTTATCACGGATATATTTTATAGCTAATCACTAAGTCATCAAGTTGCGTTTCAGATAAATACGATTTAGTTTATTAATAAAGTATAATCATAGTTGATTAAAGGTGGCAGTAATAAATATAAAGTAACTGCTTTATTTACAAAAAGTTACGCAAAGAAGGTTCACTAGAGAATGGTTGTTTGATATCTGCTAAAGGACATGTTTATTCATTATTGAGGATACTCAGTTTAAGGCTATCTTTAATCACCTAGTGACGGCTGAGTATAAAGAAATTTGTAAATTAAAAATAACTTGTTATATTGTCCTTCCTGATTATTGGAGGCTTTTGATGTAAACAAAGACGAAATCATCAAAAATATCTGTGTAAAAGACACATGAAACCATATTTTCTTTATATTCTAGGTAAACGATCGATCACTGTACTTAGATAGTGATTTAACATGTGAATTGACGTATCAACCGAAAGGACACTTGAATACTGTTCATTGTCATGAAGTATCGGTCATGAAACCGTGGATCGGAGCATTTTACACCAGACCAATAACTTTCAGTGTATACCTGGATATAGATCTGATTGATGTAAACATTTACAAGGAGGCTCTTCCTATGTGTAAGTCCTCTTTTGTTAAAGTATTTATAGAGTACTTTTAGCTGCTTAAAAATTTTTTCGATTTCATTTTTGATCATGGTTCTTTACAGCATCAATGTACTGATTTAAATAATAAGAAAGTTTAGTGGCGTAATTTGTCAAAGCAGTTCAGTACATATAATTGTACGGGTTTGGTAATTTAGTAAAATGATTCTTCAGAAAGATTTGCCTGGTGTCTTAAGAATTTTCACAATTTCACTACAGATGAAGTTATTCAATAGTGCATAGTGGATTACTTTCTGAACAAACATAATTGCCCCATTCACACACACACACTTCTAAACACCTAAATTTTGATTTCAGAAAATTCTATTTTGTGCATCATGAAGCAGATACCAAATAGTTCTTGTTTCTAGCGTTTACCAGTGTTTTTCTGAAAAGTAAGACTCCCTGTTCCAAGTGTCCATCTAGCTGACATCTATGACCGGAGTAAATAAACTTAAAAATAACACAAATTTTTTTTTCCGCACTTTGTTAGCTTCATAGATTTTAACTCTATGGTGGATTAAAGTCAACCTGTGACAAATGACTGTCAGAACATTAGAGGAGGAAGAAAAAGAAACCCAAAGATATCGTCTTGGTGAATTAATCCTCAAAAGCTGTGTCATCGCAGTTTTATACATAAGTTGATGCAGTTACTATTATTATTGTTTATTTCAACCTTGCAACGAAGGAAGATTAAATATGATAATAGTTTTCCACTTGATATGAAAGTTTCTGATCACAGTTAGAAATATCATCGGTGATGTTAGGCAGCCTTGTCTTACTCACGTCATCACTTCAAAGCTTCGATATGTGTTACCATAACATGGTTGTTGAATGAAATTTATGGGTGTTTACAACACTGCACTCTGTAGTGTTGTGCCAGTTTGCAAATTACTCAAAGGTTAATACACTTGAAGGGTTTTTCAAAGTCGACGAAGTTGAATTAGAGAGTTGGCTGTTATTCTAGGTCTTGTTCTGTGATTATACACACACTTCACCACTCCTGGGCAGTTTAACAAAGTAGCCATTCTCCTTCTTAGCAAGTACCTTCCCTTACTCCAAAGTCTTCTACAGTAGAATCATGAGCAAGATTACAGTAGTCTATGAGTCCTTTCACAGTGCTTCTGGGGAGATCCCGCCTGTCCCTGCTGTTCACCTGACCAGGTTTTAATAACTTTGTGACGTTCAAGACTTCTGATTTTGTTGGAGCACTGGCTGTTAGTGTTAATCCTGGACGAGTTGCAGGTGATTATCGGTTCAAGGTTTTTTTTAAGTTGATTTGCACTTTTGTAATTCGATTTTGTTCATTACCTTTCATTGGTTTTATCTTTATTAATCTCTTCCCTGTTAGCGACCTGTCTGCTGGAGTGATATAAGGTGGTCAGAACTAACACATGTTACTCTGCTAGGTTTTGTGTCCAGTAGGCCGCAGTTCCATTTTCTTTCCGATTTCCCTGTGGTTGTGCACAGATATACAAATAATTCTCCGTTCTCGTTCATTTTAAAGAGTGCTTCTCGACCCATGATGGGCTCTGTCCTTGTGTTATCTAGTCCCAGTTTTGAATTCATACTACATGCTAGAATATTGATGTAATTAAGTGTCTGAGGTTCTTTGCACTGTGTGCAGTTGTCTGTGGAAGTTTTCCTTTCCTTCAGCCTGTATTGTTGTAGGTACATTGCAGTGTATATTGTGATGAGGCAACATACTTTTATAACGTCAACAAAATGTTACCAAATATTTTAAATCTCTTCATTAACTGATTGACGTCTTATTCAAAATGTCTTAGGTATTTGGGCACTTCAAAAGTGTTCAATACCGGATGAAAACACTTTTGTAAGTACTTCGATATGTTCTTTAAGTTTGAGTAAGGATCACTGTCAGTTAGAGAATCAATAAAAACCAGGGGGATGTCTGCTCCACACTAGTTTGGAACTTTTCAGCAGTACGCACACACTGGAGTTCTAATCCAGGAAATTCCCGTTGTAAGGCGATCTAATAGACTTTTAAGCCACTTGGTTCCGATCTAATGACTCATGAATTCCAGCGTCTACCGATTGGTGATTTTAGATCGACAATCAGTCAATGTCTCCTAACACCCGAACTCGTGGACCCCAGTGGTCACAACGTCTCACAAGAACTCCAGGCAACTTCGTCCTGTAGCTAACCATACTTATGTATCATTGATGGTGGCAAGTATATAAGTAGACTGACAGTTAATGGAATGAAATCTTTCCACTAACTTGATTAATTTATATTCTATGCAAATGGATATTGTACTGAATCTGTTCATAACCAAAGGAGCATACATATTGAAAAATCCAGATTGACTGATACAACTTCGAAGAAACAGATGTTTTAAACAGTATTATGTGATGAATTCCATGATCAGCCTTCGATGAAGTCGATAATGTGATAATAATTTTAGCCATTTTGATAAATTCAAAACTAAGCATTATGTATGATATAATTTCGTAGATTCTCTAGATAAAACATTAGACAGCAAATCAGTCATACAAAAGCCCAGGACCTTTCGGTTACCTGGGTTCAAGTCCCGGTGGGTGTGTACTGATGAAGAGTCCCAAACTAGGACGAAACAGATGTCCAGTACTCCCAGGTTTTCCGATGGTTCTCTAACTAATGTCAGCTCATGATGAAATCCTGTAAAATCGTATTTTTGTTGTGATCCATGGTAGCTGTAAAGCGGTCATAAAGACACTGCGAGATGATATTATCTTGCCCTATATGTCGTCTTAACGCACTATTTAAACTATTAGATAAATAAATATATTTATCATTGTAAACTATTGAGTGAAGTAGAGCATGGAACACATGGATTTGTTTAAAATGCTTCACTACTGTAGAGTTCTTAATTTCCTGAACACACTCTCTATTTAAGGCGTTCAGCCCGTTGATTTACGCCAAACAGAGTTGTGCATTACACAGAATCTCAGTATTTGAAATTATTCTAGACTATAAACAATATTTTAAGGATCACAGATTTTCTTCTGGACTACGTTTCACATCCATCAACAAATAGAGCTCATTTTGGCCAGTGCTTTAGCCCTGTAGGTATTTCTCACAGAAGGTGAATGTTAGCAAACAATTGAGACATGAAATGAATATCTCCTGCTATCGGATGGCTGTAAGAAATCAATTAAGATTGTTAGTTATATTCATTACCTTTGAAGCAAGAAAGTAAAATTACTAGGTAACTGGTCGACGACAGTGACTAACAATTTACCATCGATTTTGTGAAAAGTGTCCTCGGATCAATGATAAACTAGATTTTATAAGTGAACATTTCAGTACCAAATGAAATGAATCACTCTCAATTTTGGATTTCCAACTTCCACTCGATGAGAAAATTTAGTTTCTATCAACATAATTTCAGTTTGTAATGCTAAAGGCTAAACAACAGATGATAATTCCTTATTGCTGTGAAAAGAAATGGTGAACAAGTTTTTTTTTTTATATATTACGAATAAATTAGTCAGCATCTATAGACGGATCTATACTAGAGAGTCTTAAGAATGCTGCAGTTACTTGAATGGATTTATATCTGTCCCATGGGTGAAACTGAGGGTATTAAAATAAAAACCACTTCAATTTATCCAATAGCATAACAAGTTTAGAATTGAAAAATTAATCAGTTTGGAAATAATATGCAAAATGCATACTTAGTACGTGTATCATAAAGTCGAAACTGTAAATTATAAGCCGATAAAAACACTTTAATTCCATATTTGTGTGACTGGGATTAAGAGGAAACGATTATTTTAAAGTTTTAAGAGATACGTGTAGTCTTCACGAATATCTAAAGGAATGTATGTGATTATTGTGTACATAAATTTTATATTGTTTATAATGCATAAAGCTGGTAGTTTACTTTTTAAAAAGAAACCATCTTGAATTCATTTAACAAGTGAAGCCGATTTTAATGTACAACTGACAAGGTAAAATTATACTGATTTCATGCTAGAGATTGAAGATTTTTATATTTTCTGGTTTTCAATACATTAAATTTTTTTTTTGATTTTGATTATAGCTTGAAACCACGCAGTATTTTAAGTACATGTATGGAATTTTCAGCATGTGATATCGGTAGCCTACCATTGATATCAGGTGTGCATTGGCAGGGGATCGAACCCCGGACCATGTGCATGGTCGGCGAGAGTTCTAACCACTGTACCAACGACGCTCAAGAAGCTTAGTGAATTCTGGTAGAAGGGTGCTGTAATGACTGTCAGATGGCCAGACACTATCAGAGGAGCCTGTCATTGAACGACAGTTACTTGTGAACAGTTGATTGACAATAGATTGAAGATATCATAATAAAGGATTACTTGAAGAGGGTATGAAAACGCTTTTGCTACAGGATGTAGTGGCAAACTAATTCCGTCTTACTGAGTCTGCTTTCGATGTTTGTTCAAACATGAACTCATAATTCTTTCACAAGCACTAATTGTGTTTTACATTTATAAGCTGCAAAATAGTTTATATAGGTGTCAGAGGATCGCTTGCTAAGATTTAGCAGAACTGAAATATATTTGAAGCATTCCTTTACTTTTCTGTAAAATATTTGAAAAATTTGTCATACTGTTTAGTTGGGCGTATTTTGATTTTAGGGCTAAGGATCTGATATTCTTATACACTCATAATACTTTATTTGAATACTACTATTCCACTAGGTTTTCAGTGGAATATGAGGCCTCAGCGACACATCCTTATTTCTTTCTGTTCTTAGCAATCATCTTTAGTTGACTCCATGGTTTGCCGTAGGCTTTCATCTCTTCCTCAGCAGCTCTGCTTCATCTAAGCTTCAAACAACCCTTTGTTATTTTCCGTTCAAGGTCTTTGCAATCGACGTCATGCAACAGCCTCCTCTGCGGCTGTCGGATATGCCTCCACCTTCTTCTGTGTATTTCTTGGGAGGTAAGTTCTTGGTTGGCTCGTTCCCTGAGTTTCTTATTACTAATCCTTTCAGGCTGACAGACTGACTTCCAGTATCAGTACACCGAAGGGAGCTGTTGATAAAGTCTAAAGTAGTCTGTTGAAAGTGTATTCGGTGTTGTGTGTTCCACTTTCCTGAACTCTGTCAAAGTAGTGGCTTTAATAGTGGTGTTTAAAATTCTGATCTTGTTTCTTATGTTGAGTGCAGGTGATTGACACGCTGATTTCAGAATAATCAAAGTTTGTTTTGCCTTTGATTTCTTCATCCATGCCACCTGTGGTTGAAATAACGTGGCCTAGACAGGTGAAAAAAGTGACTGTCTTTAGATTTCTCCCACTGATAGTGATCGGTGATTGTTGTTGTTGGTGGTGGTGGTTTGGTATCTTTATTGTCTTTGTCTTCTGTGTGCTCACTTGAAGTTCTGTGTCTCCAATCTCAGTTTTGTTTTTTGCGGGGTTGAGTTTTTGTTAGGTCATGGGTTTCTATGAGGCTGTAGACATTCAGTTCTGATGAATGCTGATAGGCATGCAGTCTAGGTCCTAGAGGTCTTGCTGATCGCCTCAAACCATCAAAGTCAGTATTATATCTCATATCTCAGAGAATACTGGATGTCTGTGTTGTCCTAGCTTGAGACTCTTCAGCAGTCCATACCCATTACTTTCCGAATTCTGAATCCGGCACTTCAGGGCTATAGGGCTATCACTGGGTTGGAAGGCATTTTCTAAAACATCATCAAGGCTGGTGCAAACTTTAACAATGAGTAGTCAATCGTATTTATATACTGAAGTACACAGGTATATCTTTGTTACTTTCATCACAATCCAACTGATAATCACTAAAAACCACTTTATTTTACGTGCCAAACTCGTTTAAATGACGAAAACACTTAACCTTGAGTGATATAAACAAGAACTGTGTGGTCTTTATGCTAACACTTGTTTAGAATAAAACAACCATTGATTTATAATAATTGTAATTAGAATAAGTATGTTTACAATTATAACATATAACATTTCTAAACTGTTTTTCAATTTTACAGTTCACGGTGTATCCAGTGAGTATTGTCGATTTCCTGAAGAAAATAATCGAACTGTTGATACAGACCATTCCTATTTGGAAAAAATAATTAAAAATCAAAGCTTTATTAACATGGTTATGAATTCACCGGAAAAATTTAGTGATTTTTTTGAACAGCTTCAACATCTCACTTATGAACAGTTGGTAGAGGCTTACAGTGCGTGGAATCAATTCGGTCAACCAAAGAAATATTTGTAAGTAAAAATATAGGGAAAGGTTAATTAGATAACTTAGAAAATCAATTCTGAAGCTTGTGTATATTCAGCATATGAAAGAAATCTGATTCAGTTCACTGAAACGCCTAAAAAATAACCAATTATTAATAATTGAATGAAAATGCAACTGTTATTAATATTTCCTGAGTAGCATTGAAGTGGTTTGAAATTGACTATATACAACAGGAAATTGATGAAGGTATAATAGTGAGATATATGTTCTCACACACCTTTCAGTGACATCTATCATATCTGACAGTAATTGTCACTGAATCCAAAATAGCCAATAAATTAATAGATGTCCCTACTTTGCGGTCATGTTTGCATTTCACAGGGTCGGTTAGAAAAGCTGCTTTTAATAATACCGTCGGTAATAGCGTATTCAAATGTATCAAATATTCACCTAGAATAATCGAGAGTTTACACTAGAAAAATACACTAATTACATAGAATGTCTTTCAAGTGTCGATGTTGTGTAAACGAAATGTGAATTTAAGATAGATTGCTGGTGTAGTGTTGAAAACTGAGTACACATTTTTTTGCATAATTCTCCAATTAATCTGATGTAGAAATTCGCTCTTATCCTTCAAGTCCCCAATATTTGGGATAGCTGGAAATATATGTTAATTTTCAAATATTGGTTTTGTAGGGATTTTGTTTGATTGCTTGGAGGATTTTACCATGAGCTGACATCAGTTACAGAACTACTATGTTGTGAATTGGCAGAAGTTAGAATTCAAGGACCATTGGATCGGGTCCCAGTGGCTCAATGGTCTACGAGCTTGCCTTGCAACTAGAAGGTCCTGGGTTCGAACCCTGGTGGGTGAGCACTTATGAAGAGTCCTAAACTAGGACGAAACAGCTGTCCAGTACTCCCAGGTTTCCCAGTGGTTCTCCGACTGATGTCGGCTCGTTGTGACTTCCTCCAGGAAGTATATTAAACAAGATTTGGCTGCATAAATTTGTGTCATAGTTTAAAAATGACCAGTTAAGTTATAAAAATATAATTTGAATGCTTGAAAATAAAGTTGTCACTTTAATCCTCATTAGTACTAAAAGAGAAGAAATTATTACACTGAGAGTAAACGTACATTATCACGCCTCCATGTCCGATAAAAAATGAAATTTTTCGATGCAATCTCCAGCAGTGCATTTATCAGGTGGATATCTAATTCAGTTGCACGGAAAGTATGCGACAAAATCTACTAAATTTTGTTGGTCATTGACATTATTTAGAAAAAACGTTTCTTGCATGTTCATTACATCATATTCTACCTTAACACACTCAGGCATTTGAGACGATTAACAGTGAGTTCCTCTCTGAGTGGGAACACTTAATAGGATGCGGAAACATTCAGTGGACGAAGCTTATTCTGGATTCCAATACACATTAAATGATATCAAGTTAACCCCGTAAGGCAAAATCAAAGACAGCATACTTCAAGCGTATATTTTAACAGTGACAAGATATTTTAGTCTAGTAGAATCAACCAATTGAAATTGCAAAAAATTTTCAATCAATAACATTTAATTGTAATAACCTTAAAGGTTTGATCAAATACAAAGAAGGTTACGATCTTTCGTGATAATCAATTGGAAAAATAAATAATATTGTTACTGATGATGCGAATAAATCAGAATGAAAGGGGTTAAATTGAGATATTGTTGTGATTTAAATAAGGCTGAGTTGATATGATTGATGATGATGATAATGACGACGACTGATCTCAGTTGTAGACATTTTGATTGAAAGTGACCTACCTGAAATTGATAGTCGTTCAACAAAATATTTTCTATTCTGACGTCTGAATGAAACTTCAGTCTTTCAAACTTCTAAAATTTTGTCAGGTATACGCAGTTCTAAATTTTAAAAAACAAATATAGATACATTTACAATATGAATGTTTTTTTTTCAAAAGGTGCCACCTACAAAACAATAAACACTGCCTTTGTATTTTTGTCTGTATGTGTGTGTGTGTGTTAGTGTACATTTTGGACGTGATAATAACCGGCAATATTAGCCTGTTCAGTGTAGGGTGGTTGAATTTCATGTCTATTCGACCAGGAAAAAGTTTAGCAGAACTAAATTTTCATATCTTATTGCCGAATAGTAATTTAAGCCTTAACAAAGTTTAAGACGACTTACGATATCACAGATAAAGGCTCATAAAATGGTCTCATGAAATACATTGGAAGTGGTATAGAATAGTTAAAGTTACAAAATGTAAGGAAAAGCTCTATGTGACAAACCAAAATTGTATGCGTATGTATGATAGGAATTTATTCACAATCCAGAAAACTTACAAATCTGATTTTATAATTCACGCACACGCTGATGCTAACATTCTTTACAAGTTTCTTTGTTTCTGTATTACTTTACTCATTGGTGTGACAATGTATAATACGCCCTGTTGAACAAGTTTCAATTTCGCATACCCTAGTTCATCGTGACTTTGATAGAAAATATTAACTGTGATTAGTGAAGCTTCAGAAAAATAATCTTGTTTATCTTCATTTCCTCTATTTGAAAACATGCACGGCAGAATACTCAACAATCGATTTGTTTCCAAACTATAAAGTCTGGATTTGGTTTGCATAACCACAATTGTTTATTATACAATGTTGACATACCTGTAATGTAAATGGACCAAATTGGTTGAAGTTGGTTTTCTTAGACTGGTAGAATGAAACAAACATAGTGAGAGGATTGTCAAAGAAAGGCAGAAAACAATTTTTATTAGATTTCACCCTCTACTGACTTTTCGATAATAAAGTGTAAGAAACACTAAAATTTGTGTATATGTAAACATGAGGAATAAATTCATCGTGGATACACATTATCAACTGACATACCATGTGTTCTGCATTGATTACCAAAAATATCTTTCTTTTTGAAAATATTTCAGACAAGCTGAATTACTCAACTAGTCTTCAGCAGTATGAAATTTTTTTATAAGTTTTTTACACAATCAACCTTATTCAACAACTGTACGACAACGGCACATGTCAAGTCATCCACAACGGAAAACTCGGTGAGGCGTTTGGAGTAAACACAGGAGTCAGACAAGGGTGCTGGCTTATTATCACCAGTGATATTTTTAATTGTGGTGGACTGGATTATGCGTCAGACAGTGAGTGGGGAACGAGCAGACAGGGATATCCTGGACCAATGTGAAGAACCTAGAAGACCTGGATTTCGCGCGTGGATGATTTATGTTTGATGTCACTGTCACAAAATCGAAGACTTACAAGCGAAAACCGACAAACTGGTCGAAGAAGCAGGCGGCGAAGTCAGGACTCCAGATGAACATAGACAAGACGGAGGTTATGAAAATAACCAACCAACAACAACAGAAGCAACATCCAGCGCCAATCACCATCAATGGGGGATTTGAAAGAGGTGACTTCATTCGCTCTTTTATCTAGGGAGCATTGTCTCAACAACAGGAAGTCGGAACGGACGACGATGTCAAATCGAGCGATAATCGGGAAGGCGAGAAATACATTCATCAGCCTGAAACCAATCTGGAAATCTTCGTCACTCAGCATCAACAACTAAATTCGGTCGGATTTTGAATACAAACGGCGTCAAGTCAGTCAGTTTTTCTATACGGATCAGAAACTTGGTGGGTGGTTCACAAAAAATATTTCCAACAGGCTATTGCAGACCTTCATCAACAACCGTCTTCCCTCCATACTGAAGATCAGATGGCCAGGCCGGAAAGAATCACCAACAAGAAACTATGGGAACAAACAAACAAAACAAGAACCAACCGCCCAATAAATATGCAGGAGAAAGTGGAGATGGACTTGACACTCGCTGAGGAGGCCGCCGCTGGGTGACATCGCGCGCGCGTCAGGCCATTGCTCGAGTGGAACCAGGCCGAAAGGGAAGCGGTGGCGAGTGGGACGTCAGTGCAAGGTTGGGTGACATGGAGGAGATCGTGTGAAGAGGAGTTGAAAGAGTATGGACTAAGATGGATGCAGGTGAAAAGCACAGTAGAAGACAGAAGCAAGTGGAGACGTGCAGTTGTAGCCCTATGTTCCACTAGGAACCCAAGGGAATAATAATATATAATAATTACACAATTGGTTCTTAAGCATTATGCATGAGTGTTAAGTTGTTAAAGCAAGTTTTCCTTGAGAACCTGGAGGCCAGTAACTTTCAACGGTGCATTCCAGAACCTGATCAGGTGCATTTTTTTCAAGGGATATTAGACAGCCTAGCTCAGCTTTTCCCCTTCCATTGGTCCTGTCTACTAAACTTCTCAACAGTACTAGAGAAACCCTTAGTGAGTGACAAATCAAAATAACAGATAAAGCTTCGCAGTTAAATGCCTGTCACTTAGGCTGAGTCTTAAACACAACCAATATTTTTTAAGACACTGCACTATCAAAATGTTGTCATTACACTTTTTTAATGTTTTCTCACACGTATAGGTAACCTAGTGTTTCTTTTTTATTGGTTTTATTACTTCGTGTTTTGCAGAGAATTTCTACAAAATATTATTGCAGAGTTGAGGACAGACGCCTCCATGAAATTTATTATAAAGCATCTTATAATGAACAAGATGAACAAATGTGCACAGCTGGAATGGATTCGTTTACTTGGCGTGGTCCAAGCGCCCAGCTATCAACTCATCAAAGAGATGAAAGTAAATCTTTTCTTTTGATACCTTTCAGATGTTTGAAATATGGTGTTATTATTTTCACTTAACAAGCGTATGAATTTTGCGTCCTAAAAGACAGAATAGGCGAGATGCATTAGATGTTCTCAGATAGCATTGAGATTTCAAAAAAGTGGTATGGTGAATAAACCTTTTTCACTCATTTATGGGGGGAATTTAGGCACTTCACAGTGCAGTAGAACTTCGTGACATATAACTTTAATTAATAGGAAACACTATGATATAACATATATACCTGGATGATGTTTAGAGAACAAAGTATTGATTTGTTAGTTTTATTCATTAGTAACCTAATATTCTAAAAGCATCTCCTAATTAATTATGTCATATCAATATGTGCATTGTGGAAGAAACTAATGCAGTATAATAATGAGGCTGGAATAAGAGTAAATATAACGTTATCAAGACTGAAAACGGAATAACTAGATACCGGTGTATATTTGCACACTGCAAAGGAAATGTTTGTAGTATGACGACATATTCAATACGGATTTATGCATAAGACTTAAGAAACAGGATTATTTCTTTCTTAATGCAGACTTCCTAACTTAACAGGCCTACAAATAATACTGTAACAGGTATTACAAATGAAGTGTGATTTTTCAAAAGACGATATGAGTCAACTGCTGTTTTTGTTAAATTCGCCCTATATCCACATAACTACGAGTCCCTGAAATAAGGGGAGCTGCAATACAACGTATAAGGTAAAACTTAAAATATTTTAGCACTGAAACAGTCAATACAGGGAGTAAGTAAAGATCAAATTAAAACAGAATTTTCAAAGCCGAGATTTCTTATTTCGTGTATATAAAATAGGCTGATTATTTATTCAAGTTACACTTATACACAGTCGCCGAACCTGAGGCAGAAGTTACTGAATACTTTCCGTTAAAAAACCTGTCATTATTTATGAAGCTCTTAACATTTTTTAACCATTCGACAGCAGGTTTACGGACACGCTAGGGTCGATTTCTATTCAGTAATAAGGGAACCTTGTTTTTGGAATAGTATATATATATATATATATATATATATATATATATATATATATATATATAGTGAATAAGCAAAACTAACTACTATCAAAGAAGCATTGTTATCGTTTTAAGGACTTTGTATAGATGACTGTTGCCTTTCAATGAAATGACGTTTGAACATGCCATAGAACAGGTACTTTGTCATTACTATTGTATGCGTTAAAAGTGAACTGAAGTGCAACTGCACTTCGCAGAGTAGATGGACAATACTACAGTCAACCTTATCTCATTTCTGAAGTAATTCTGTACTTTTATTACCTATCATGAAGGTATGCGTCTGCATTCTACAATAAAGCTTTGTATGTCATACTCTTTAAAGGAGCAGATCACTGGCACACAATACAGTCTGGATCCAGGTTATTTCGAAGTACATATTAAAGGCTAATATGATATAATCTTCAAGAGTTAAAGTCTAACCTTTTACTCAAGAGTTCTTTGCAGTCGTTTCTTTATATCACAGTGGTGTCAAATGATTTTTCGAACAGTACAGGCATGTAATTTATATGATGTAAAGCTTTGTTTGACACTGACTGACCATTTCTACTAGACAGTAATAACTCATGTTCACGTAGACTATTCAAAAATTTAATTTTAATTCATAATATGGTTTGCACACCAACATAAGAGTTAAACAGTCTTAGTGTTTATATCACAGAGATTCGGCGCTCTCAATGAAAATACATTCTAAAGTGCAGAGGTAACTAAATCTTAAATGGCTGCAGAAAATGGGTATAAAGTTCTCAAATGAACGTTTGTGCTTACTGTCATTCTTCAGAAAGACGATGTTTGGTGGTAATATCACACGGCAACACTGATCAATGCGCATTTGCATTTCTGAGGGATACTGGTTAGTTCGACGTCGAAGATGTGCCATATTAATAAGTGCCAGTGACTAAGTAACTTAAATTAGAGGCTTTTTGCTGACTGTTCCTATCCATCTACTTGGAATTTAGGGTGCAGCACAATGATGAAATTGCAGACCTGGGTGACAGAATTCAGTCATTGTCAGTAAACTTTAGAAATGATAACTAGCTTCACCCCAGCATTCATTTTATAAATCAGTTCACTTAACAGTAGATTCAGATTTCTTGTCTGTGAAATGTTTCTGATATGCAAAAGCTTCTTAATAACAAGCCTATCATGAATGCAGCGTTACATACTTATAAACACGATAAAAGCAAGCCACAGGAATGCAGGCATCAAAACGACTAGGAGTACTCATTCGGTATTTTGAGTGTCTCATGCCATTTTTGGTATATTAATAAAATCTATTTCTATGCCCTTATCTACAGAACTTACTGGATTCTGCTTTGTATAAAGATACAGTTCACATTGTCAGTTTAAATATCCGGAGATTTTGTGAAAGTAACCCGTCATGCATGGAATTCGATGTTATCAGAAATATGACAGCAGTTATCGAAGATTCCGTTAAATCAAAGGTCATTGATAAGGTAGGTGCTTTATACTAATAATTTGTAGTCCTGTCTTTCTATTTGACTAGCAATAAGTTCTGACCTTGTTTAAGTAACATTTTTACGGTGCTACGAACACGTTTCGGAAATAAAGTTTATGTTATATAAATGTGTGAAATAAGCTAAATGCGTTTTTATGCAAACCCAACAGTTCGTATGATAACTAGTATAAGAAGTGAAACAGATAGAATACTGTTGTATAAATTCCGTTCTATCTATAAAATCAAACCTCTTTTCAAAAACACATAGAGAATTGTTGGATTATTAGAGTAGTTATTTTATTCAGTTCATATTGTTAAGAAGCAGGAGGAAGAGTTTCCTCAGCATAGCAGTGCTTGATGATGTTCAACCACTTAGATGAAAAATGTTTTATCTTTCTAGGAATTTTTCCCGTGAAACATAAACTGTGCTATGAGTGAAGCTACACTTTGTTTTGAAAAAAGAGAAATGTTCATAGAACTCGGTTTTTATGAATATTTGGTCACTGTTAGTTGAAATCCATTTATGGAAGATGAAAAGTACTCATCAATTTGGATAGTATGAAGATACTGTACAATGTATTGTTTTGTTAGTTGTCAGTCACTTACATGCTCTTGAATTTAGTCATTGTAGTTCTCTTCATTTTATGTGAAATATACTGGCAAACCTAAAGAGACTTTTGTTTTCGCCAACACAATCAGAAAAATGATATTCAGACGGGCACACACACACGATGACACACACGTTTTCCACTGGTATTACCAACTGACCAAAATTTTTTCAAAATATGGAATCGAACTGGAAATTTATGTTCATTATGACATTCAAAAACTAAACATGTGACCAATTAGCTACCGGAAAAATGTTTGTCAAACTGACCTCATTAGTGGCTTGGGGAAAAAAGACAACGAAATCGTGTTGCCTGTGCATAAAATCAAAATATTTAATAAAAAAATAAAATTAAACATTAAGTTCACGGTTCATAAATTTTGGAAGATACTTAGCCTATTAACTAATTCTCAGACTCATTCTCTCTCTGATATTTTTCAACGATATCTACAAATCCGTTATGAAAACACAGATATGTGAAGTATGCAGAGTTCACGCAACAACAGAACGAAATCAAGTGTAAAGAAAGAAATGCTTCAAATACTATGTTAAACAGAACAAGGCGAACACAAAGCAAATACGTATGACTAAGTCTGTTAATAAAACCAGTGAAAAGTCACAATAATTATATATTTTTTTTTTTTTGATTTACAGCTTGATTCCACACTGTATTTTTTGGTACAAGTATGGGATTTTCAGCATGGATATCGGTAGCCCAAATTTTACAGGCCGACCTTAGATATCAGGTGTGCGTCGGCGTGGGCTCGAACCCCGGACCATGTGCATGGTCGGCGAGAGTCCTAACCACTGTGCCACCGACGCACAATTTCACCACCAGATATGGAATAACGTTAGTTCATCAGGTGAAACAAAGATTATGTTCGGTGAAGAAATGTTTCTTTTCAACGACTTCATTTTTCAAGCCGGTACGGCGGTATTTATGTTTCGGAAAAAGTCATTAAGAGGCACTAGAAATTACTCAGTCAATATTGCACATATGATGAGAATAAAGATAATTAGAATGATGATGTACTGAGTGGGTAGAGTTGAAGTGGATGAATTACAAAGCTTCTAAAGATTATTAAGTAAGTGGATTGGTATTGTGATTTTAAGAATAGTAGGTCAAGTGTTGCCTGAAAAATTATGAGTACGATGATGATGATGATGATGATAATGATGATGATGATGATAACAATAAAGACGGCGAAGGTGAATTCAAGTGGAATGAATTCAAGTGGTAACGTAGAATAAAATAAAAGGACATTACCACTTCCAAGGTAAAGGAATAAGTCCTAACAAAACGAATGCTAATACTGATACTCTCAAATGTTGCATCATTAATGGTGAATATCTAATATCCGCAATCACTTTTATCCTGATGGTCGAACTCTTAAACGCCATACACTGGATTTGATCGGTGTCATACAAACGCATGTTCCAGAACTCCAGAATAACATGCCCCAACGTCTGCATTCCTCAGTTGAACTAACGGAGACCGATCGTAGCTTATTTAAGGATTATAAGCCTGATGTGATACAGAAAAGATCCGATGATGTAACTATTAAGATGTAAAACAATCGAATTTAATTTGAAGTTTCCGAATTCCCCAGAAAATATGTCTTTAATTATTCCAGTATAACTTCGTCTGACATTCAGATGCAAATCGTATCTCTTGGTCCTAAGTTATACACTATTTTATCCGGAGTTGACAGATTAGATATAAAGGTGCAGTTTGTAAATCTAATTTTTTACACACAGGACTACTTCAGACGTCTAGTTGAGACCTAGGATAATTAGAGTCTGTCATCCTGAATTGTTACTATCAGTATTAGAAAGAGCGATGTAGACAGCGACAAATGATACCAAAAGAGCATAAAAGACAGTTGAGAGAACTTCTCAATAGTAAGGAAATAACACTAATTCGTCCAGATAAAGGATTGAGCATAGTTATTTTAAATTGTGAGGATTACAATAACAATATGTGTACCATTCTTTGACACCAAGAAACATTTTTGAAATCAACCAACCAGAAAGACAGAACGAAGAGTATTGAGAGTGAATTGCCAAGAACTTTGCAGAAGCTGTTCGTATATATGTATATATATGAACATTTCGAGCCGTCTGGTTCAACCATACCTCGTCTATCTGGTCTTCCTAAGGTGCACAAAGATGGTATCCCTCTGAGACCCATGTCGGATATACTGAACTGCCCTTGTCATTCTACAGCTAAATGACTGCGTTTACAAATTAATGTATAATGACGACAGCGAATGCACCGGAAGAATAGCTTGACGGGTGTTTATCCAATTTTCTGAAGACATTTTCAAGGCAAAGTCTAAAGGGGACATGGTTGACTGCAAGTATAATTATCTGCAGTACAAAATCAATCTACTGATATAAGAATAAAACTTGTGCACTGTGGTAGAGTGTAATTCCACTATGGGTAAACTTCGTTTTGATACAGTCTCACAGTGACATACGGTAATGTTTACTGATGACCACTTTTCGAGCACAATTTATTACTCATAATCATACCAAGGTAATCACACGACTTCCTATCTTCATTTATATAGTCCCATTATTTTTCACTTGATTTTCACTTGATTTGATTGGTATTAGTATTTTCCATATTTCAGGAATGAGTGATGAGTCATTCCTATTGACTATATTGGGTGTAGACTTGATGAACAAGGATTCCGTAATCAACCTCTCTCTCTCCACATACATACCTAGATTACCTTTTATAATTTCCACCCTATCCCACCTTATTGTGTGGTTGTGTGTTAATGCGTGAAGTGCAATGTAGTCCTGAACTTTTTTCTAAATTACTTATCTTTTCAGGGTCAACCATTCTCACCTTAGCTAAATTGTTATGTTCTGATAATCTGACTATCCTGACCTACTAGTTTGACCTATGTAGTTGACCTCACAGACACTGTATTTTGCCTAATTGGGTCAACCGACAGGGTCCTTTAACCTACACGGCTTGTCCCTGAGTGAGTTTGTAGGTTTGAAAGCCACCCTTATTCCCGCTTTATTTAGAATCCTATGTAGGGTCTCAGATGTCCCGTGTTTATAAGGTATAACTGTAGATAACAAGTGAAAAACAATAGAATTATATAAATGAAGTTAGGAAGTCGTGTGATTACCTTGATATGATTATGAGCAATAAATTTTGCTGGAAACGTCATCAGTAAAATTAACTGCATAACACTATGAGATTGTATCATAACAAAATTTACCCATAATGAAATAGATCTACTACTTGCGTTTTCAGTATACAGGAGAGAGAGAGAAGTAAACTTGATTCACTTAGGTGAATAAACTAACTTTATACCGATAAATGTCACAATTAATTCATAAAGAGCAACATCGTTTTGTTCAGTGCAGAAATGTTTCTTTTCAACGACTTCATTTTTCAAGCCGGTACGGCGGTATTTATGTTTCGGAAAAAGTCATTAAGAGGCACTAGAAATTACTCAGTCAATATTGCACATATGATGAGAATAAAGATAATTAAAATGATGATGCACTGAGCGGGTAGAGTTGAAGTGGATGAATTACAAAGCTTCTAAAGATTATTAAGTAAGTGGATTGGTATTGTGATTTTAAGAATAGTAGGTCAAGTGTTGCCTGAAAAATTAAGAGTACGATGATGATGATGATGATGATAATGATGATGATGATGATAACAATAAAGACGGCGAAGGTGAATTCAAGTGGAATGAATTCAAGTGGTAACGTAGAATAAAATAGAAGGACATTACCATTTTCAAGATAATATACTTTTGAGCACGTAATATAGATATTCACCCATGTATTCCTATATCTTTGGCCCCGCGTAAATGGACAAAACGTAAGCTCTTGGAGTGGCTGGGTTGGGTCCACTCGATAACTGCTAAGGATAAATAAGTTTAAGCTGAATATTCTGACTCCAGAAGATGTTCACAGATTGAAATTTGTGGATTCCTTTGCTGAGCTTTCACCCACCAATCTGGGACGTGTTCAGCTATGTGTTTACGTAGAACACGCTTACAAGGTCCAATGCAATCAGCTCCCCACGATCATGTGAATGAGTATATGTACATAGAGTTGAATATAACCCATGGTGCATTCCTGTCGTTTCGTTGAGTCATATGTAGGCTAGTACATATTAAATGAAATTCAGCTGCTTAAAAAGTGTGTTTAATAAATCTAGACTGAGTTTTAATTACTTCAACAACAGTGTCACCTCTGAACGCCAAACTCATATATACTGTCTTGGAATCGGCTAGGAATGGTTTCTTTCTTGATGTATCTGTCGACAAATCTTCCAGGATATCCATTATTTAAGAGGGTTGTGAGTTCTATGTTGACTGTATCTGTCGAGCATACTTCCCGAATTCTGTATC